TCACACATAAATTGTCGAGTCGTATATATCTAATCGCACGTAAATTGTCGAGCCGTATATATCTAATCACATATAAATTGTCGAGCCGTATATATCTAATCACATATAAATTGTCGAGCCGTTTATATCTAATCACATATAAAGAATCATGCAAACGGTCGGTGGTTAAACTCTTCGTTTTCCATTCTAATGACAATATACTTCATAAAAACGTTTAATTTTAGTTACGAAACCATTCAAAAAGTACGAGCTGTACGAAATTTTTCCTGTACTGAATACCAATACATTTGTTTACTATGAAGAACTTGACTTCTGTGCCGCCTCCATGACAGCGCCACCAGCATTGAGTGTTGCTCAGTTTCAGTTAAAAATATTAATATATATATATAATTATTTATAATACGTTCAACTATTTATCATCATTTCTAACTATTTATAATCAGTTCAAATTAATTATGAACAGTTCATGTTATATATAATGATTCAGCCATTACATTAACTGAACATTTATGGGTGAATGCCGTAGCATATTTTGTGAAGGAATGAATAAGTCAGCGCGTTTTTCGACACCTTAAAGTAAAATGGTCTTGCGAACCTTGAATGTTGTATTAGTTGACGACATTAGTTACGTTATCGTTCAGACACCAAGGCCCATACTTTCAAAAAAAGTTAAGAGATCGTAAGTTCATCAGCCAATCATTGACGGCCTTTCAAGCAAAATCCACCAATCATAGACAAGAAAATAGAGCGTAAGTACTAACGTTCACTATACTTTCAAAAAAGGTTAAGAGATCGTAAGTTCATCAGCCAATCATTGACGGCCTTTCAAGCAAAATCCACCAATCATAGACAAGAAAATAGAGCGTAAGTACTTACGTTCACTTAGCACTTTTTGAAAGTATGGCCCCAATGCCCTAAATTTTACCGCATGCTTCTTATTTTAAAAAGTAAATTGAGTGAGATTTTTCCAGCAATGTTTTTTTATTTTGTATAACTCTGACACAACAAATGCATTGTTTCTTATACGACGTCTAGAACGCAAGTGTCGGTGATGGAAGCGCACGCAATTCAATTGCCGATTTAAATTCAGGAGATCAAGCCGTTCTAACGTAAAAAAAATATTTCGGACAAATCTTTGTAGTTTTTATGTTTTGTTCAAATAATTTTTTGCGTATTTAAACTATGATTCTATTAATTATGAATTTTCACCATGAACAAAGTTTGTCTCAAATCAGAAAAGCCAACTGGAGGTTAAGGTAGATATAAAAAATTAATACAGGACATGAAACATGTTTTTACCACGTTTTTTTTCTAATTATTGTTTTTGATTAATCGTTAATTAAATTAATAAGCACAGACGTCGTAAATGTGTAAAACATAAATCACCGCACGAGGATGCTTTACAAGGAAACGATTTGGCAAAAGGTCTGGCTAAGCCAATTCGCTTCAGCCGACCACTGGCCATTCCTCAGCCACCTGAAAGCCGCCTGTTACGAAAATCCATACAGGGCCTATACTTTCAAAAAAAGTTAAGAGATCTTAAGTTCATCAGCCAATCATTGACGGCCTTTCAAGCAAAATCCACCAATCATAGATAAGAAAATAGAGCGTAAGTTCTTACGTTCACTTAGCGAGTTTTGAAAGTATGGCCCCAGGCTCTTAAGTATCACATTACAGAGATTACACGCTCGAGATTAGCAACTTCCATCTAGCTAGGGCATGAATTTCACACCTTAATCCTACCTTTTTGAAAAGATTTGATCAAAAGGCCAGTCTTTTAGATCTGCGAACTAATCAAGAAAAGTACAAGAATCTGCGACAGGCCATATGCCCATATCCAGGCCTATTCTTCAATGCCGAAGATACTATACTATACTAATTAATACCTCGTTCTCTAACTCCGCCGCCCTGCCACTACGGCTCTGTCACTCCGCCAACCTGCCACTACGGGCCTGCCACTCCGCGGCACTGTCACTACGGCACTGCCACTACTGCCCTGCCACTCCGCCGCCCTGCCACTACGCCGCCCTGCCACTACGTGCCCTGCCACTACGACACTGCCACTCCGCCGCCCTGCCACTACGGCCCTGCCATCGTGGCAGCAAACGAAGAACTGGTCGCTGCTAGGGACACGACGCTCAGGAGGCCGGCGTTCGTGACTCGATGAAATTGCGATGCTATTTTATTTATTATTTATTCATTTTATTTATTATTTATACATTTACTTTGATCTCCGGCAATAATACTACATAGTATTTAATGTCTTAAATGTAGACACGTAAATATACAAGATCCACGATTATCGTGTCGTGTTCCACAGTAATTAATGAGGATCATTTCATGATGAAGAGTTAGAAATCAAGTATTTAATGCAATGAAAAATAATGCAAAATCCACAGTTTTATGTTCAGTTAAATTGTTGCACAAATAAAACAATAGAATATACGATGAAGTTCCCTTTCAATATCATAAAATATTTAATTTTATGCATTTCACTTCTCACGAGCAAACATGCACGACTGTAGCAAACCTGCACGACTGTAGCAAACCATTCATTCCGAACAATCCCCCGAACAAAGAGCCATATTCTTTACAAACTTCATGATCGTTACAAATATGATTTTTATTTTGGAATACAAAGGTAACGCAGTGCATGTCTAAATTTCGTGAAGAATCGAGAACGTATAATTGACCGAAGATACGCTCAGAGACAGCAAAGGAAAGGCCTGAAATTCATGCATTAAATGTATGACCTCGAGCTGTTAATTAAAAAAGTTTTGTATGAAATAATAGTCAAAGAAGCTTCCCCGATCAGTTGCTCGAGAAAAATAACAACTTTATTCATATTCATTTTCACTGAATAACTCGCGGTAGCTTAACCATTTCGATGAATGCGATCTGGAATTATTGAATTTTGGCGGTAACCTTTTGTTCATGAAGTTTTTTTTAGGTTTACATGATTATAAACACACAACTCAGTCGTACCATCAAATTATTACTAAATAAAATTTGTGGTAGTAAATTTAAAATTGAACAGCGCCATAATTGCTCTCGAAAAATTATTCTATTTGTTAGTGAAGAAAAGAACATCGCATTCACCCTGAACACCTCAGGTTGTTCATATCCACTTCACTCGTTTGTTACGTTCACAACAGTAATGTTATTTCTTAGTAACCAAGTAGATCAAAAGTGATTATTTCGTTTAACTCTTAATTCTTTAATAGATTCTTTAAATCTATTAGAATCTAGAGTGTGAATAAAATCTAAGAAATATTGAGAAATTATTCAAGTAAATAACGCGAAAACCTAAATAAATCGAGAAAAGCGAGATAAATACTGCTTAAATAATAATTATCGGAGTTAATGCATATGCGTTATTATCAGACTCACTCATCAAATAAAATTAAAACTAATGTCTACAATGAGCTACGTGTAATCACCTTAAGAAGAATGAAATACAGAAGAGAATCGAAATATTCTCACAGTTTATTTTGTTTACTTTTTGCGAAACCTGAATTATATCTTGAAATATCTTATCATCCAATCAATATAAATTGATAGATTTCATGTTCAATCACCGGAAATTCATGAGACGATCGTTACTTCGAGTTTTGATAGGAAATTGGATGTTCTGGATTTCAACTCAACTGGTGCTGGACTGTAGGAGTTGTTGGACTGAAAACAGTCCACTCACAAAGTACACCTCACACAACGGTCATATCACGAAGTACACCTCACACAACAGTCATCTCACAAAGTACACCTCACACAACAGTCATCTCACAGAGTACACCTCACAGAAGACATCTCCTTAGTATTTGTTTGGGACGTAGCAGTCCCAGCCCACGATGGATCGCCGCCTCTGATTATCGTTCATCCGCCCTCATTTGGGCCACCTGATGCACGATGCTGTTGCTTGCTTCTTGCCGCTGGTAGTGTTGCAGGGAAGGTCGATCTGGGATTGTGCCCAGGAAAACGTCCAGTTGTCTCTTGAAGGTCTCCAGGGTGAACTCCCCCTCTCTTAGATCCTTTGGTAGGACGTTAAACAGCCACGGCCCTGCCACGGAAAGTGATCCTTAACGCAGGGATGGAAATCTGACTGCAGATCTGTTACGTAGTGGGGGCATCATGCACTGTCTCCCCCTTTTCTCGTTATGATATGTCTCAATCCTGAAGGTCTCGCTCTTGAAGTTGATGCCATTCCGGTTATCATTTTCCATGTGTACAGAATGACATACCTCTACCGTCTCCTCTGCAGTGAGTACAGACCCAGGCGCTTAAACCTCTCCCAGTAGTTCAACTCTTCCATCCCTCTGATCCTGGAAGTGAAGGTTCGCTGGATACCCTCCAGTTGCCGCACTACACCGAGTATGAACGGGATCCAGAGCTGGCAGCAGTATTCAAGGATTGGCATTACAAGGGCTCTGAAGAGTGTGATCATCGGTTCCGCTTCTCTTGTTCTGAACGATCGCCAGATCCACCCCATCTGTCGCCTACCTCTTGCGGTTATTGACGGTATGTGATCACCAAAACTGACCTGCGTATTCATCGACACTCCTAGATCGCGAACGAGTCGCTTCTCTTCGATTTCCGAGTTGTCAGGTGCTAGGTAGCGGAGCTCCATTACAGCTCTTCCTGTTCCTCTGTATCTCAAAACCTCGAACTTGGTCCCGTTGAACTGCATGTCGTTCGCTTGGGCCCAGTCACATATTGCAGAGAGGTCATCTTGCAACCTCTTGCAGTCCCTCCTGTCCATTATGGTCATTATTATCCTGGTGTCGTCCGCGAATGACGATGCAGAGGCGTGGTTCACTGCCACATTTATGTCGGCGACGCGAATGAGAAAGTGGATTGGGCCAAGATGAGTTCCCTGTGGTACTCTTCACTCTTCACCATAGCCTCGCTCGATCTCGAGCCTCATACAACGACAGCTTGTAGTCTTTCTGTTAGGGAGCTGCGGATCCATGCCAGCAATTCATCTGCGGCCCCATTAGTCTTAATTTTCTGAAGAGCAGCACTCCGTGGCCAACTTTGTCAAACGCATTCGTGTCCAAATACACCAAGTCCAAGTACACCACGTCCAAATACATCCCAGCCCTCTCCTCAGGCATGGCCAGGATTTGGTGGATCTACCAAAGTACACCTCACACTAAAGTCATCTCACAAAGTACACCTCACACAACAGTCATCTCACAAAGTACACCTCACACAACAGTCATCTCACAAAGTACACATCACACAACAGTCATCTCACAAATTACACCTCACACTACAGTCATCTCACAGAGCACCGCCGCTTTTTGATACAACGCTCGGTTGACCAGCAGGTACTTCTGACTGGGGGCCATCCAGGCCTGAGTGAGAGTGACATTCGCCAGGGGGAAGTTAGGCGCCCACGGGAACGTTCCTACAGTCCCAGGAATCACCGTCCCGTCCGCCCACGCCCATTGCGTCCCGTCGTTGGCGGCGTTCACCCAGACGTTGCGCTGCGGCGACGGCAAGTCTGTTGAGAATGTGAAGGATTTGAGTGAGAGCTTTAGATAAGGCCTAGAATAAATCCAAATCCAATATCTTACGGAAGAAACGGGTTATAAAAGAACAGCTGGATTTATCAAGAGGGTTTCAAGAACCAACCGAACTAATGCCGCTCTTTGAAGTTTGGACCCGCCAGGCAACCACGGATTCTTTATGACGGAATCTTCAAAACTAGTAAAATGTGTTCATGGCAGCCACTCGGAACCAATTGGCCCAAAACTCATCCCGCACTACCAAGCCGTGGAGCCTAGTCTCAGAAGTCTTCAACCGTCCTTGAATGCCTCGTGGAGCCTAGTCTCAGAACTCGCTGAGCCCACTCAAGCTAACATTGACTGCCCCGTTGAGCCTAGTCTCAGAAGTCACTGAGTGTCTTCAACCGTCCTTGAATGCTTCGTGGAGCCTAGTCGCAGAAGTCACTGAGTGTCTTCAACCGTCCTTGAATGCCTCGTGGAGCCTAGTCTCAGAACTCTCTGAGCCCACTCAAGCCATCCTTGACTGCCCCGTTGAGCCTAGTCTCAGAAGTCACTGAGTGTCTTCAACCGTCCTTGATGCCTCGTGGAGCCTAGTTGCAGAACTCACTGCGCTCACTCAAGCCATCCTTGATTGCCCCTTTGAGCCTAGTCTCAGAAGTCACTGAGTGTCTTCAACCGTCCTTGAATGACTCGTGGAGCCTAGTCCCAGAACTCACAAACCGCATTCAAGCCATCCACGAGTGCTTCGTGGAACTTAGTCCTAGAACTTACTGAGCTCCTCCAAGCCGTCCTGGACTGCCTTGAAGACATTGGCGTCAGAGAGGATGGCGACGCTGGCTCCTCTGGGGCAGAAGAGCTGCGCGTGGTTCCTGTCGACGTTGACGTCTACATAAACAAAGGTCCTGGCGCCCTGGTTGTACAGCACGCGCTTGTGGTTGAAGTCCTCTGCAAAAGTTGAAATTAAGATTAATTCAAATGTTATGTTACTGTCATAGTCTTGGTGCGCAAATCGCATGAATTTGGCAATCAATGTCTGATGATCTGACTTAGAATTTGGATATAATAGTTAAAAAAAGCTAGGATACGAGGAGAATGTAATGGAAAGTCCTGGAAAGTCCTGGAAAGTCCCTGGATTGAGTCAAAGAAAAGCCGTGAACTTGTGATCCAGCATCTCTAACGGTGAAATCCTAACTAAAATCCGGGAAGTCCTTGCTTCTGTTCAGAAGTCACTACACTCGGCTTAGAGTTATTCTGGATCTTTTGGGCCAGTCGATCTGAATCAATTTATGGTCAGAACCTCCAATCCGTCTTAATTCATCTGGCTTTCAGATATGACAAGCATTTGCTTGGCCCGGTCAGGCTGACCTTTCAAGCTGCTTGAGTCTGCACTTCAAGCCCGGCAGAAATGGACAAGCGTGAGCTCTCAGAGTCAGAGGTTGTGCCTGTTGCGGTATTGTCCCATCATTAAAATTTTATGAGGGATAAAGTCTTTAAATTCCTTTAATTCATCAGAATTATCGAACTAATCAGTAGCGGGCTTTGATCCAGAAGTTTTCTGATATGTTTAAATGTTCATATTTTGTTTCGAAATCCTTGTGTTTAATGATAAAAAAGATTCAAGAACTGACTGCAATGAACGCGTTTTTCTCCATACAAGGTTGTAAAAAGTTGTTGTGCATGTCATTAAGAGGTCAAGCTGCACGGGCGCCAAATCTGAATTTGTTTGAAAATGTTCAGACACAAATTATACAGCGCACTTAAACTAAACTCATTGTCTATTTTGACGGATGATTAGACGGCCATCGTTCATGTCCAAGAACGGTGTGTGCGTTCCTTCGGTTAAGTCGTACGAGTGGATCCAAACGAGGCTGGTGGTTTGGAGGCTGGTTTTGCCACCATACAATGAGTGGTGGCGGTGGTGCCACTAGGAAATGTGGGGGAAAATGCTGAGGGTGGCAATGATGAGGCACTCATTTTGCATTTCAAGCCACGACGAGACCCTAACTCACGTTTGAGGAAGGTGTAGGCGAGGTCGTCGGGCTGCAGCAGCAGAGGCACGGCAGTGGCAGTGGAGAAGGAGCAGGACGCCGCCCTACCAGCGGTGGCAGGGACGTACGAGAAGACCGTGCAGCTCGCGTCCCACCAGCACTTCAACTTGCACGTGCCTGCCATCAGGACCAAATTAGTTCATGAGGATGAAAACAGTGCGTCCCACCAGCACTTCAACTTGCACGTGCCTGCCATCAGGACCAAATTAGTTTATGATGATGAAAAGCTATCATTCGTGTAAAACTTAATCAGTGACTGACGTTGATGATATTCAACGAAGTTTTATGCTCTATTTAGAAGGTTATGAAATATTAATTTTAATTTCGAGTATAAATAGGCTATTATCTGCCAGGTTAATTTCAGTCGCGCGACTGAAATGGTTCATAATGTGCTTAGTCTCCATAAAGCTCATCGTGTCAATCGACTCAGATTCATGGTTCGGTTAGTGATCAGTACAGACACTTGGGTTTGCTTTAAAGCAGTGGTTCCCAAAGTGGACGGTACCGCCCCCTGGGGGCGGTGGAAGGATCTGGATGGGCGGTGAGGAAGACAAGGGAGGTAGCGGGGCGGCAGTCCGAAGTCGAAGTCAGAAGTTCGAACGTTTGTTTGACGATTTTACACAACACGTGCAGCACACGGTTCCCAGCGAGGGGCTTTTCCATCCAAATCTATGTTTTTACCCTCTCCTAATTTTTGAAAATATTCAAAATTTGAATTTTTGTGTGTCTTTGAGGGGGGGGCGCTAGGAATTCACTAGGGAGCCAAGGGGGCGCCAGCCTGCAAAATTTTGGGAACCACTGCTTTAAAGGGAAAGTCACCCTGACTCCCTATAAACGCTGAGTTGACAGCTCAAGTGTCCTGAGAACAAGAGGGATCTGTGGGCGGAAGCACCAAGTCTATAAAAAGATTGAGCACTTAATTAAAACAGAATTAGTTGGCAACTGACAATACCATGTTGTTGTTCTCACCGTAAGCGGACGGCGGCTTGACGGTAGAAAATGATTACTATGTACATTGTACACAATGTGTACAGTCACGTATCCCTGTAATGACTTTCTTATCTACTAATCGCTCTTAAGATAAGTCTAAGATAGAATGCGTCATTGCTTATCTCTCACTTTAGTTATCTAATCTGCAACCTCTGGTGCATTGTATATGATATTCAATATAATCAGGGTGGCTTTTAAATTTTGCCTAAAAGATCAGATTGAAAGTTAAATTCACTGATGTTCCAGTTTTTAATTTGGATATATGTATTTGTTCGATCTAATTTAAATTACATAGCATTATTCCAAAGAAAATTCGCTAAAAATTAGAAAGTTTACTTCTTGCTTATTAATTCATTAAGATTTTTTGAAAATTAATTAATTTGACCTAGTTACTTCATTTTGCTGAAGGGAAATTTATTAATTACGGATAAGAGAGCAGCTCCCTGACATTGTCAAGAGAAACAATAATATTGTGTTAGAGTTGGGAATATTTAATTGTAGCGGTTGGCAAGTCCGCAAAATTAAGTCAAATTTTAAAGCTGTAACTTCCCACTACAAACTCATATTTTTTCACACAACGTTTGCGTATATCCAAAGACAGGGGCAACTCAATTCTTGTACTGGATAGCATGTTGTTAGAATACATTTAATCCACTCTGGCAGTAAATGATTCATTAAGTTAGTAATCAGGTAGCAAGCAACTCACAAGCCTGCGTGTCGTTGATGTAGTAAGTAACATTTGCTTGTACTGGATAGCATGTTATTACATAGAATACAATTATTCCACTCTGGCAGTAAATGATTCATTAAGTGCAGGGCAGGGTGGCCCAGTGGTTAAAGTTCAGAGTACCAGGATTGGCGCAGAGAGGCGCGGGTTCGATCCCAGCTCTGTGCGCCAGTTTCTGGTCAGAATCGGCAAGGAGGCCGGGCGGTTAAGCACAGCAGAATTGTAGCAGTGAGTTGCGAGTTCGAGACAGCAAAATGCTGTGAATGTTCTGCGATGTTAAGAATCGGCGATAGGCCTACGGCCTAACAACGCTGAAACCGCTATTATTATTATTATTTATAAGTTAGTAATCAGGTAGCAAGCAACTCACATGCCTGCGTGTCGTTGACGTAGTAAGTAACATTGGCTGGCAGCAAGTTGAGTTTTGCATACATGGAGTAGCGGACCGTCTGGTCGAGAGAAACGTTGTCTCCCACAGTTATGACTGTGAGAGTCGCGAGCAACATTACTCTTCCTAGAACTTTCCTCAACATTTCAACTCTAAAGAGAACTTACACTGTTAGAAAAAACGTTGAAAAAACGGTCCCACTGGCGTTCAAGTGGCCGGTCGCCCCGTGAAAATAAACTGTTTCGCCGTTTTTATCAGATGTTTTAGTGATTTCTAGTGTTAAATTACAATAAAAACGGCCACACGGTGTTTCTTTTCACGTGCCGACCGGCCACTGAAACACCGGTAATACCGTTAACTGTAATTTTTCTAACAGTGTAGTTAGATCATGAAATAATATCATAGACTTTGTTTGGGCGGTTTAACAGATAATTTTGAATATTTGTTGTAAATTTATTGTTTACAACGTGATGAAGTTTTCTTTTGGTGCTGAAATAAACAATAAGATTTGATTACCAAACAAGATTTAATTAACCGTGCTTAATTATCCTAATTAAGTGCGATTGTTAAATTCTAGTTTAACAAAATTAACAAGGAGTAGAAAATTACTTTAAAATTTTATCTTTAACAATTATCTGGAAGAAGTTCTCTCCTAAGAACTATGAACTTTACTGATTTTATGATTACTTAAAACACATGAAGTTTTTAAGCAAATATCGACTTGATAAAGATTAGATGAATTGTAATTAATCAAACTCAATGAAAGTATAAAGTATGTCTACATTATCAATCAGTATAAAGTATGCCTACATTATCAGTATAATGCATTACTAGATTATCGGTAATAGGTATTCTTAGATTATCGGTCTAAATTATTTTCATTTTATCAAGTATTTCTAGATTATCGGTATAAAGTATTGTACATTATTAGTATAAAAATTTTCAGGATTATCGGCATTAAGTATTTATAGATTATCGGTATAAAGTATTTTTAGACTATCGGTATAAAGAATTTTACATTATTAGTATAATGTATTTCTAGGTTATCGGCAAAGTTTTTCTAGATTATAGTTGTAAAGTACTCCTAGATTGTCGATATAAATAATTTTTATATAGTCGGTATAAAGTATTTCTGAATTATCGGTGTAAAGTATTTCTAGATTACCGGTATAAGGTATTTCCAGATTTTTGGTATAGAGTGTTCCTAGATAATCGGTCTAAAGTATTTCTAGATTATTGGTATTAAATATTTCTAGATTATCGGAATTAATTATTTCTAGATCATCGGTGTACATTATTTCTAAATTATCGGTATGAAATATTTCTAGATTGTTGGCTTCAGGTATTTCTAGATGATCGATATAAAGTATTTCTAGATTGTCGGTATAGAGTATTTCAAGATTGTAGGTATAAAGTATTTCTAGATTGTCGGTGTAAAGTGTTTCTAGATTATCGGCACTAAGTATTTCTAGATGATCGATATAAAGTATTTCTAGATTGTCGGTACAAAGTATTTCTAGATGATCGATATAGAGTATTTCTAGATTGTAGGTATAAAGTATTTCTAGATTGTAGGTATAAAGTATTTCTAGATTGTCGGTGTAAAGAATTTCTAGATTATCGGCATTAAGTATTTTTAGATGATCGATATAATGTATTTCCAAATTGTAGATATAAAGTATTTTAAATAGTTGGTATAGAGTATTTCTAGATAGTCAGTATAAAGTATTTATAAATAGTCGGCATAAAGTATTTGTAGATTGTTGGTATAAATTATTTTTAGAACTTATTTTCAACTTAACATTAACTTAACATTAACTTAACATCAACTTAACATCAAGTTAACATTAACTTAACTTCAACATAACATTAACTTAACGATAACTTAACATTAACTTAACCTCAACTTAATCTCAACTTAACATCAAGTTAGCGTTAACTTAATTTCAACTTAACATTAACTTAACGTTAACTTAACATTAACTTAACATCAAGTTAACATTAACTCAACGTCGACATAACATTAACTCAACATCAACTAAACATCAAATAACATCAACTTAACATCAACTTAACATCAACTTAACATCAACTTAACATCAACTTAACATTAATCCAACATTAACGCTAGCCATTAGAGCCTACCAAGCACACATCACGAAGCCTACTCGCTGACTGAAGCTCCTCGGTTCACAGAAGCCAAAACTTTGATTTGGTCGATAAGGGCGAACTATTTCGTAACAGCGAATCAGTGAAGCTTTAAGAAACAAAGAAGAAAATGTTCGTAAAGTTGTGTGCCGCTGGTATAGTTCTTTTGATGCGTTATAAAGACTTTATCTTGATGTCGTTGATGGTGCCTTGATGGGTAATGCCGTTATCTTGATGTCGTTGATGTTGCCTTGATGTGTAATGCCGTTATCTTGATGTCATTGATGGTGTCTTGATGGGTAATGCCGTTATCTTCATGTCATTGATGGTGCCTTGATGGGTAATTCCGTTATCTTGATGTCATTGATGGTGCCTTGATGGGTAATGCCTTTATCTTGATGTCATTTATGGTGCCTTGATGGGTAATTCCGGTATCTTGATGTCATTGATAGTGTCTTGATGGGTAATGCCGTTATCTTGATGTCATTGATGGTACCTTGATGGGTAATTCCATATTCTTGGATTGTGTAACGATATCTTGATGCGTTAAGCCATTATCTTGATGTCATTGATGGTGCCTTGATGGGTAAAGCCGTTATTTTGATGTATTTAATGATATCTTTGTACGTAATGCAGTTATCTTCATGTCATTGATGGTGCCTTGATGGGTAATGCCATAATCTTTGATTGTTTAATGATATCTCGATGCGTTAAGCCATTATCTTGATGTCGTTGATGGCATTCCACAAGAAAAAGGCAGGTTCATAATGAAAGCCAAGTCAGCAGGGCATATACTTTCAAAAAAAGTTAAGAGATCGTAAGTTCATCAGCCAATCATTGACGGCCTTTCAAGCGAAATCCATCAATCATAGACAAGAAAATAGAGCGTAAGTACTTACGTTCACTTAGCCAGTTTTGAAAGTAAGGCCCCAGAAGCCATTACTGTTGCACCAAAAATTCGTCGGCAAATTACAGCTCAGTGAGCTCGGTGAGCAGAGCCTAAAGTGCTTCTGTTATGCACATATGCACAGAAAAGATGATATTGATCATGTATGGCCGCAAAGTTGTATTTCTGGACTGTCGGTAAAGTATTTCTATATTATCGGTGTAAAGTATTTCTAGATTGTCGATATAAAGTATTTCTAGATTGTCGATATAAAGTATTTCTAGATTGACGATATAAAGCATATCTGTATTATCGTTGAAAAGTATTTCTAGATGGTCGATATAAAGTTTTTCTATATTGTCGGTATCAAGTATTTCTAGGTTATCGGAATAAAGTATTTATGGATTATCGGCATCAAGTATTTATGGATTATCTGTATAAAATATTTCTAGACTGTCGGTTTAAAATATTTCTAAATTATCGATGTAAAGTATTGCGACTAGTCGGTATGAAGTATTTCTAGATTTTCGGTACAAAGTATTACTAGATTATCGGTATAAAGTATTCTAGATTGTCGATATAAAGTATTTCTAGATTGTCGACATAAAGTATTTCTAAATTATCGGTAGCAAGTATTTCTAGGTTATCGAGATAAAGTATTCCTAGATTGTCGATATAAAGCATATCTTTATTGCTGCTATAAAATATTTCTAGATTATCGATATAAATATTGCTAGATAGTCGGTATAAAGTATCTCTAGATTTTCGGTATAAAGTGCTACTAGATTATCGGTTTAAGTATTATAGATTGTCGATATAAAGTATTTCTAGATTTCGGTATAAATTATTTTTTGATCATCGGTGTAAAGTATTACTAGATTGTCGATATAAAGTATTTCTAGATTGCCGGTAAAAGTTATTTCTAGATTTTCGGTAGAAGATATTCCTAGATTATCGGTCTAAAGTATGTCTAGATTATTGTTATGAAGTATTTCTAGATTGTCGGCTTAAAGTATTTCTAAATTATCTGTATAAAGTTTTTCTAGATTGTCGGTATAAAATATTTCTAAATTGTCGAAACGAAGTATTTCTAGATTTTCGGTGTAAAGTATTTCTAGATTGTAGGTATAAAATATTTCTAGATTGTCGGCTTAAAGTATTTCTAAATTATCTGTATAAAGTTTTTCTAGATTGAAGGTATAAAATATTTCTAGATTGTCGATGTAAAGTATTTCTAGCTTATTGGTATAAAGTATTTCTAGAACTTAACACCAACTTAGCATTAACTTAACATCAACCTAACATCAACTTAACATCAACTTAACATCAACTTAACATCAACTTAACATCAGCTTAACATAAACTTAATATCAACTTAACATCAACTTAACATCAACTTAACATCAACTTAACAGCAACTTAACATCAACTTGATATCAACTTAACATCAATCTAACATGAACTTATCATGACCCATGAACTTAGAATCAACCTAACATCAACTTAGCATCAATTTAACATAAACTTAGCATAAATCTAAAATAAACCTAACTTTAATTTACATCAACTTAACGTAAACTTAACATAAACGTAACATCAACTTAACATCAATTTAACATCAACTTAACGTAAACTTAATGCCGCTATCTTGATGTCATTGATGGTGACTCGATACGCTAAGCCATTATCTTGATGTCATTGATGGTGTTTTGATACGTAATGCAGTTATCTTGATGTCATTGATGGTGCCTTTATACGTTAAGCCATAATCTTGATGTCATTGATGGTGTCTCGATACATTAAGCCATAATCTTGATGTCATTGATGGTGTCTCGATACATTAAGCCATTGTCCTGATGGCACGCCAGTAGAACAAGGCAGGTTCATAAAGAAGGTCTGGGCCTATACTTTCAAAAAAAGTTAAGATATCGTAAGTTCATCAGCCAATCATTGACGGCATTTCAAGCAAAAGCCACCAATCGTAGACAAGAAAATAGAGCGTAAGAACTTACGTTCAACTAGCGAATTTTCAAAGTACAGGCCCAGGTAAGCAGAAGCCATTGCTGTTGCACCGTAAATTCGTAGGCAAATTGCAGTT